AAGTTGCATATTATAAATCATGTACAATTAAATAATTGTTTAAAATTAAATCAACTTACTATAGACTATTATAGACAGAGAATACCCGGTAATATTAATAAATAAGTGTATAATATATTTTATAATTATGAAATATTCATCAAATGTTATGTTTAAAGCGGAAAATCAAGTGATATATTTTAAATGATAGCAATTAGTTTTCAAGTTTTTTCGATCGAATATTTCGAAAAATAATTTGAACTTAATTTGTATTGTGATTTATCTGTTATCTACCCATCTAATTATAGGTAGCACAGGCTAGCACATTTTAGTTACAAGCAACTGAATTTCGTTATCACAAATTAATTTTAATAATTCCAATATTAATAAAGCCAAATAACATAAAAATTACCTACTTTTCAATCCTATAAAAAAAATATAATATTATGGTTATTTTAATAATATAAATTATAAAATATGAGTCGGGCGTAGGGAATGTGGCGTGCCCATCGCCCGATACACTTGACAGTGTATCGCAATAGCCCCACACTGTCTTTAATTAGATGGTGTGGACTGGTCCTCCAGATTGGGGGTTTAGCGCAGGACTAACAACCCTGCCTTATAAAAAAAAACTCTTGTTCAGGAACCAAACAAAAACAAGCCTAGGACATATAGATTTAATGGAAAAACGAACGGAAACAGGAAACAGGATTTACTCTTTGGAACATGGAATGTACGGACAATGTTCCAACCTGGAACAGCTATAAGCGTAGTCAAGGAAATTGAGAAATATAAAGTTAAGATAGTAGCATTACAAGAAATCAGGTGGAATGACGAAGGAACCATAGACATAAATGATACTACTATTCTTTATGGCAAGTGCAATGAAAGACGACAGTTTGGGGTTGGCTTTGCAGTACATAAAAGCCTAGTGCATACGATAAAAGAGTTCAAAGTTATCAACTGTAGAACTGCTATTCTTATAGTTAAGGCCAAATTTTTTGATATAGTATTTTTAAATGTACATGCACCAACGGAGGAGAAGTCACAAGAGGAAAAAGAAGAATTTTATGCTGAGTTAGAAGATATCTTGTCGAGAATAAACAGTAGCAAAATACGAATTATCCTGGGTGATATGAATGTGAAGATAGGAAAAGAACAGTTCCTTAAACCTACTATAGGGGAAATATAGCTTACACGAAACAACAAATGATAATGGTATGAAACTAGTAGATCTTGCAACTGGCAAAGGATTCAGGATAATGAGCACAATGTTTCCCCATAAGGATATACATAAAGGTACGTGGAGATCACCAGATGGACAACATGTCAATCAACTTGACCATATCCTAGTGAATGAGAGATTCACAAATCTGTCAACGACGTACGAGTATATAGAGGAGCGGATTGTAACTCAGACCACTACTTGGTAGTTGGGAAGCTCAATATCAAGCTGAAGGTGAGACAACAGAGTGATAATCCCAACTGTGTCAAATATGAAATAACAAAGCTCAATAATGAAGAGATATGTAAAGCTTTTCAAACCAAAGTGGGGAGATTAACACAACTAACAAATATTAATGAAACTCATACTATTGAATCGCTCTGGAGGAATATAAAAAACATCGTTACGAAGGCATCTGAGGAAATCATCGGGAAACAAGGGAAAAATAAAAGGAAGTCATGGTTTAACACAGTGTGTGAAGAAGCCATAATAAGAAGAAAAGAGGCGAGATTAAAATGGTTAACGGATACAACAAACCAATGCACTGTCCCCAATTATTTTTAATTTAGTTCTGGAAAAAGTAATTAGAATGATGAATATCTCACCAGATGAAGGGGTAAGACTCGATGGCACATCAATAAGTATTCTAGCATACGCAGATGACATAGTGCTTTTAGGGAATAATMTAAATACAGTGAAAAGTATGTGCGAAAGACTTATAACAGCGGCGAAAAGAGTAGGATTGCAAATTAACGAAGAGAAAACAGAATATATGAAAATAAGTAGACAACGGTACGGAAAACAAGCAGAGGAGTCTCTCAAGGTTCAATGATCACCCAATCAAATAATATGGAGTATGAAATTCTTAAAAGGATACAAATGGGTAACAAGTGTTATTATGCAATGGATAACTTACTTAAGTCAAGAATTCTCTCAAAGACACTTAAACTTCAGATATACACCACACTAATAAAATCTATAGTACTATACGGAGCACAATGTTGGACCGTAAGGAAAAGTGACGAGTCAAAACTGAGAGTTTTTGAAAGAAAAATATTAAGAAGGATTTATGGACCAAGTCGTGACCTGCAAACAGGTGAATGGCGTAAAAGACATAATGAAGAGTTACATCACCTATATAACAGACCGGATATAGTTAAAGAGATAAAAAGAAGAAGATTGGAATAGGTAGGTCATGTATGGAGGAAACCTGATGCTTTGACAAAGACGGTCTTACAAGAGAATCCAAGAGGGAAAAGAACACTAGGAAGACCCCGAATGCGATGGGAGGATTGTGTCAGGAAGGATGTAGCAGTTTCTCTGCCGGAGGAAAATTGGCATATGCTAGCACAAAATCGTGAAAGATGGAGGCAGTTATGTTTGGAGGTTTGGTCTAAAAGGCCGTAAACAAAAAAAAAAAATAAAATAAAATAAAATAAAATATGATACCTAATTTATGGTTTATTTTTTTTTTTTTATATAAACAATATATTTCATGATTAGAAAGTATTTAGAATGTAGGCGTTTTTTTTTGTAATTTTGTCAATCATTTATGTTTTTTCATTTGAACTAGCTATTTTTTTCAAATAATGGAGATAAAGATACTAAAAATTAAGGGAAAAACGGAAATTTTTACGCTGTTTAATCAGTTTTAAACAAAATCAATTTTGGTTTTTGAAGTAACTTTAAAACAAATAACCATAGATACATGAAATTTCCACTGAATGTTTATATAAGTATATTATATCCACCGTGCAATTTTTAAACTTAAGTTGAACTATTTGTAAGCATATTCAATTTTCGATCATTATAATTTCTTTTTTTTTAAATTAATATTGATAAAAATTTATTTGTTGGGTAGAAAAACTTGAATATTTAATACAAGGATCCTAACATATTGTTACAATAGCTGTTGAAAATAAAAGAAATACTTAGTCACAATTTTTTTTTATAATCATTCAATGTTTTCATTTTGAAAAAACACATAAAAATCACCAAAATTCGCAAATTATTTTAAGCTAGAATTTCATAAAACATTTTCTCTTTAAATCTAAAATTTGAAAATTTAATACAAGACTTCTTAAAAGTATCTCAATCTTTATCACAAAAAATGTTCAACGGAAATTCAAATTCAATTTTTACGAGCGTTTGAAAATTAAATTTTTACGACAATGGATTTTCACTAGACTTCTCGTTTAGCGATTTTCTAATTTTTGTATAATTCTAAAACAAATGAACGCAGAAATTTAAGATTTTCACTGAATGTTTATATAGACATTTTATATATTTTCAAAATATTCAAACTATTTAATTTTTTTTGACTTTTTGAGCTGTTTACTGACATTTTAATTTTTCAACATTTTAATTTTTTTGTTTCCATAAATATTGATAAAAATCTATTTGTGGGTAGAAAAGCTTGAAATTTAAATTCATTACACCTAACATACGTATTGTTACAATAGCAGTTGAAAAATAAAAGAAATTCATATTCACAATTTTTTTTATAAGAATTCAAAGTTTTAATTTTGACAATATACTTAAAAATCAAGGAAAATTTGCAAATTATAATATAACATAAAATATTATGATTTTAGTGGAAAATAAAGTGATTTATTTGAAATGTTTGCAGTGCATTTTCAAGTTTTTCGGTAGAGTATAAATTTCGATATATATTAATTAGGGTAGAAAAATCATTTGAACTTAATTTGAAATAGAGTTCTTATTAGGTAGTAAAAACATATTCATAATTATATTTCTATCACAACGTCATGAATTGAATTAAACATTATAAACACGTAGTTTAAGATTAATTTTTATTCTAATAGATTATACCTAACAATTTTTTTTTTTAGAACTCGGAAAATTGAATGCAGATATTTAAAAAATAAAACCCCACTTCTTATCTAAATTATGTTGAATATTATATTAGCATAAGATTAAACTTTAAACATATTTAAGTTGCATATTATAAATCGTGTAACATTAAATAATTGTTTAAAATTAAATCAACTTACTTTCCTCTATAATAGACAGAGAATATCAGATGATAATTAATAAGTTTATGGTATATATTTTATAATTATAAAATATTCATCGAATGTTATGATTTAAAGTGGAAAATCGAGTGATTTATTTGAAATGTATGAAGGAATTTTCAAGTTTTTCGGTAGAAAATAAACATCTTATTATTGACATAAAATATTTTCACAGGTTAGCACATTTTAGTTACAAGCACATGCATTTTGTTAACACAAATTAATTTTAATAATTATTCCAATATTAATAAAGCCAAATAACATAAAAATTACCTACCATTTGGTACTAAAAAGAAATAATAATTTTATGGTTATTTTAATAATGTAAATTATAAAATATGATACCTAACTTATGGGTTTTTATGAACAATAGATTTCATGATTTTATAGTATTTATAATGTAGGCGTTTCTTTTTGTAATTTTGTCAATTATTTATATTTTTATATTTGAACTAGGTACACGATTTTAATTTTAAATAATAGATACATTCACAGTAAAATTTATTAAAATGATGTGTTTATCCATATTATGTCGCTACAAATTATAAGAGCAATATTTTCAGTTTTCAGGAAATAAGAAAAAAAGTAAACCTATTAATAGCACTAGTGTTTAGAATACTTTCAGTAGAGGTACTCCGTCATTGAAAGATGTAATTTAAGTGAATTATTTTTAATCAATGACTAATCGTATTGAATAGAGTTGGTGTGTTAGCCTATACTACAATGTATTTTAAAGGACAGGTATTAGACTTATTTTTTAAAATATTTTTGCTAAAACTCCGACAAGAGCAATGAAAGGTAATGATTTTACTTTAATGTACATATTTTTTTTTGTCAGTGAATCTAA